TGATTATCTAGAAGCTGAGCGTGCCTTTAGCAATGCCAGATTGGCTTCTCCTTATAGCTTAGAAGGAATGGATATGTAAGTTCTCATTGATATTATAACACTATAACTAAACCCCCAGAGGGCAAAATGGTTATTTGACATAATCTTTAGTCTCGTATGTTGTAGCACCTGAAGGAGGATATGAGGTTGAGTTATTTGGCACAAGAGCTAATATCAAAGGATCGCTTAGCCCCTCAATCATGGTAACCATTTTTTAATAAAATATATTAGTGGTTGAGTTATCTCTTCTATAAGGAAATATTTTTTATATTTTATTTACTTTTTTTTTAAATATAAATGTGAAAGGTGTGCAATGGGAAATTGTTCTAGTATGCAAAAAGACCATGAAACTGCTCTTAAGAACTTTCAACGTGCAGTACAACTGAATACAAGATTTGCATATGTTCACACCCTTTGTGGTCATGAGTATGATTTTTTTGCTTTTTATTTTTTTTTTATTTTTCATATTTTGAAATTTGTTTTTTTGGATAGTAAGGGTAAAATGGTCATTTAGTCTTGTTCATACGCTTTATATTCATTCTAAAAAAGAAACAGACCGTACGTATACAGCACATTATCCAGACAAACATCACACTATCCATTCAGCCAACGACATAACGGAAAAAAATTAAACTCAATGTCCCGTTTGAGCAAAAGACGAAAATGCCCTTACCCTCATTATAAAAAATATCCATAAAAGCTTGTCCTGTGACTCCTGTCCCATGTACAATGATCATTTTACCCTTCTATTTAAAAACAATGCTTGCTAACAAGGAAACAATATCTTACTTTTGTTAGATTAAATGACCGTTTAATCCTTGTATTTAGAAACAATGCTTACTCACAAAAGAAATAGTATCTTACTCTTGTCTGAACAAATGATCATTTTACCCTTCTATTTAGAAACCATTTGACCATTCTATTTGGTAAATGACCATTTTATCATTGTATTTTGCAGGAGTCTGAAAAGTATTCCATAAGGATGCCCAACAAATGGAACTTTTCATTTGATTACTTCTATTTTGCTTTTGTGGTGTTAGCAACTCTATAATTCCATGTATAATTTAGGTGGGAAATCATTCGTTCTTATATGAAGATTTATTTGGTTATTGTTGTTGTATTATAAACATTTATAGCATTTGCCTTGTCTTTTGTCTAATTGGATATTATTATATTTCATTTTAAAAATGACATTTAATATTTCAATATTTTCTTAATTATTGACCATTTTTTTGTCTAAAAGGCTAAATCAGTGACGACCTGTTATAGTCACTAATTAGATAAACCAGTGACCATTTTCTATGGTCACTAATCGGATAAAACAGTGACGACTTTTATTGGTCACTAAGTAGATAAAATAGTGACGACTTTCAATGATTAGTGACAACATTTAGTGACGAAGCTGGTCGTCACAGATTTAGTGACGACTATATTTTTGTCACTGTTTAGTGATCATATTTATATCTGGTCACTAAATTGGTTTTGTGACGGACCTATAGTGACGAAAAGTGACGACCGAAATTTTGGTCACTAAATCATTTAGTGACGACTCATTCTATTGTTAGTGACCATTTCGTTTTGGTTACTAATTGGCATATTTTTTGTAGTGAATTTGTAAGTCGCTATTGTGACAAGCTTTGAAAAAATTTCCAATGTTGGAGGAACTCAATCTCTACAGAAGCTATCGAAACTGCTGGCCGTTGTTGCCCAATGCTAAAAACACTGAAACTGAATCAAGGAACTTGTAAGTTTTGGCATGGAGGCACTGATGAGAAGTCTCTAATCATCCGTAATAGGACAGCTGTAGCTATTGGAGAAAACTTACATGAGTTAAGGCGACTTGAACTCATTGGAAACAACATGACAAATATTGGGTTGCAGGCGATTCTGGATGGTTGTCCTCATCTTCAATCCCTTGACTTGCGCGAGTGCTTGTGCATTGATCTCAAAGGTGGCGTGGGGAAAAAATGCTCCGAAAAGATTAGGTGTCTAAAGCTACCTGAAGATTCTGTTGAAGGATGTCTATACATAATTGAAAATGATATGTACTGCGTGATATGTGAAGAAGATATTTATTACGATGGCTTGAATGGTATTGACGGTGAAGATTGGACTGTCTATGATTGCGGAGATTATTGACCTACCCAGTTGTCGGTAAGTTATGCATGATTGTTTTTTCATAAGTTTTTAATCATTATTTTTCATTTTCTTTTGAATGTTTTTCATTAAAATCTCTGTATATGTTGCATTTAAAGATGCTGCTGCATGATTTTTCGTTTTTGAAGGTGTCTCTTTCCCCCTACAACTTTCTTTTTTGATCAGAGACAAGGTAATGACATCAAGGCAATCTCTACACGCTGCACTTCTAAATAGTGTTAGATCATTTCCATTTTTGTGCCCAAACTTGGGTAAAGAATAAAGACATCATGTTGATTTGTTAGTTTATGATATATTTCTGGGGTTACTTGTTTCTGACATTATGTTGAAAAACCTAATTATTCCTTGAGCTGGAATTCATATAATGTATGTGATGAACAAGAAATTAAAAAGACAGATTTTGTGAGTTTATGTAGATACTATGTTGAAACTAGTGTACTACACCGTTGATAACAATACACCCATACAAAAGACAGAATACAGAAATGCACACATGAATGTTTAATCATTTTAAATAAAAAAATATAGCATGAATGATTTTTAAAACGATATTTTCCGGTAGAATGTAAGTGAAATGAGGATTTAATAGATATTTTAAGTAAAAGAGATAAGGTTTTGGGTTAATGAAAATAAATTGTAATTTTGGGTTGAAAATATAAATACATTGTCATTTTGACTTAAAAGTACCATTACATTCTTTTTGGTTGATTCACCACCAAACTATACATTTAAAAGTATGTTGCTATTATAAGAAAACCAAAAAAAATATTAGAACCAAATAAGCTGATAAACCAAATAATAACAAATGCAACTGGAAAAGTTAACTTTTGTAAGGTGAATGCTACAAAAGAATTGAACGAAAGGAAAATGCTGTAATGCAGAAATAAATGAAAAATACCTTGGGAACATAGGAAGATCACTAGTGTCCCACAGTTACTTATCTACTATACCTATTTGATGTTGGTGAATCGAAAGGTTAATTTTTAAGTCTTCTGAACTAATCACCACCTTTTTTTAATTTCAAGTAGCAATTTGTTAGTAAAACATGAAATATTTTGAACTGTATGATGTAAAGTGTAATTTGTATTGTGAAATAACACTTTATACAGGATATACGTACTTATCGTTTTAATGAAGTTATGTGTTTATCCATTCCATTAAGTTCTTATGACACAGACAAAGAAGTACCTATTTTGCTCCATTATTGTTAAGTTCAATTATCGGTAAATTTGAGGCTATCAAAAGCATAAATATATTGCTCTGCCTAGCTTGTATGTTGTTCAAAGTACTATCAAAAGCATAAATATACTCTGCCTAACTTGTATGTTGTTCAAAGTAATTGTTAATGTTGTTCAAATGTTATCGAGCATCATGCATTTGAAGGTAGATACAACAACTGCTAGTTTTGCACAAACAAAGAATAAAACAAACATTAGAATTATATAATTTCAAACATGTGTGTGCAATGATTTCATAAGGTCAAATTTTTAGAAAATTGGCATTCAACTAGTGATTTCAAACTTGCATGTGCACCAAAATACCATTTTAAATGGAATTTTAGACGTGAAGGTGCACCAAGATACATTCAAAAGGATTTGCATCTAGGCTATTGATGGGGAAAATAAAAAAAAGGCATAAAGTACCTAAACCTTGCCCTAAAAAAATTATTTCATATAATCAAATTATAAAAAACTCAACAATTTTGACATACTCAATATTCTCTAGAAGTTGAAATCAGAAATGTATAAATCTATAACTAGTGTAAGCCTCAGGAACAGTTTTAACATATTATAGGATTTCCTGCAATACCTGATGATGAAATGGATAAACACATAACTTCATTAAAACGATAAGTATGTATATCTTAATGGGTCAGAACTAAAAGTTGTATATTGTTAAAGACTTAAAGCATTTTAGGAGTTGGTCCAACACAAACACAGAGATATTCAAAAAAGATAATTACTAAAAGGATAGATACTAAGATAAAACATGAAATGAACATAAATATAAACAAATCGAATTTATAGATATATCAAAGATTTCACAAATCATAATACATACTTGAATGTTGATGTTTATAACATAATTACAAACTCAAAATTGTAGATTGAAAAATGTCTAGCAGTGTCCTAGGACCGAAATTTTAGGTTAAAGAGCTGCCTTGAGGATACAACAATCTAATCAATACAAGATCTTGATTATGATGAAATTATTTATGTTCCCATCATGAATGAAGAGTTCAAAAATATAAGAATGTGATTTTGTCTAACACTGAAATCTGTATTTGGTGATCCATATAGGCTGTTATTGATAGTTAATAAATGTCTTCCATCAATTAACTGCTAAAACCAAAATAATTGTTAAAAACAGTTAAACCAAATTTTTAACAGATTTAATATTAAATAAAAGTCAAAATCACAATTTATATAATTAGTCAAGGAGACCCCAAGAGCCCCAACCAAATCTTTGACCATTAAATATTAATATGAATCCAAGACTTTCATGACCACTTTGACTAGCCCAATCACCAAATCGAACCCAAACCCTTTAGTCGAAGCTTTTGATCTAATTAGTAAAGTTGTAGAATAAAGCTTTATAAATAATAAAATGTTTCTTCTTTCCTCCAATGTGGGACAAGTCCCATAAGGTATTTCTTATCAACAAAGTTCCAACAATAACCCCCCCCCCCCCCCCCCCCCC